GTACACCGGGTTTGTGTGGTTACCCATAAAGGTCACTCGGATGAGAGAGAGCGCAAGGACCAGGATGAGCAGGGAGAGCCTAAGGTGGGTGGACCTCCCATATCAGTTGATACGGATGCTACTATCCTGAACCTTCAGGCACAGATGGTAGAGATGGCCAGAGCTATGACAGCCATGACAGCACAGTTGACAGCTTTGGGGGCGATGCCCCAAGTGGCAAGTGTAGCCACTGCCAGTACTTCTAGAGATCAGCCAGTTGTGTCTCCAGTTACACTAGACCCCCTGAGAGTGGACAGGGTCCAAAGAGTAGTTCCTACAGCACCTTCAGTTATTTAGAGTCATCCAGCTCAGTTGTCAGCGGGTCAGCTTCAGGATCAGTTTGCCCAGAAGGTAGAGCAGACCATTTCCTACAGGAAGACTTGAGAGTCAGTTAGCAGAGGACGTCCTTACCCGGTAGAGTATGAGCAGGAGCACTACCCTCCTGGTTTAATCACTCCTAGGTTTAGAGTGATTGACGGGTTTGGGAACCCGATGCAGCATGTGGCTCAGTACCGGGCCATATCTTGCAATATAGGAGGGAGTGATCCGTTGATGTTGAGGTTGTTCATTAGCAGCTTGGCGGGGGAGGCGTTTTCCTAGTACGCCGACCTCCCCAATGACTCAGTCAGGACTTTTGTAGAGCTGGAGCAGCTTTTTATACAGAGGTTTGTCAGCATAGAGCACCGGGTTACAGTTAGGGAGCTAGTAATCACCAGAGAGCAGCTTAGAGAGTCACTCATAGATTACATAGTCAGATGGAGGAACCTCAGTTTGCAATGTGAGCCACAGCTATAGGAGCAACATGCAGTTGAGATCCTTTTGAAGAACATAGATGATCCCATTTCTCCATATCTGAAAGGTTTCACCAGACGAACCTTTCAGAAGCTTTTGACCAAGGTCACCAACCTACAGGACAGCATACCCGATGCAGTCCCTCCTAAGGCTGAGAGTCAGCCTTCGCGCAGACCTCAGTTGCAGGATTTTTTCAGGGGCACCTCTACCCAGGAGAGGGGAAGTACACAGTACTCAGGGACTAGCAGATATGAGCAAGAGGCCCTTAGTTAGTTCAGCACCTCCACAGCAGTCATGCTCAGCTAGTTAGTCACACTCAGCTAGTTAGCCAGCGATACATCCCAGGATATCCCGTAGGACTCCAGAGAGTCAGCAGTACCTATAGGAGAAGCTTAGTAAGGAATATCCCTTTAAAAGAGAGTTTGTAATAAAGATTTTTAAATTTCTTACTAAGAATAATATTTTAACTTTCCCCATCAACAATAGAGTGGAGGAAAAGGGTCAGACTGAGCACCCACTCTATTGTCCTTACCACATATATATTGGGCATGTGTTAGAGGATTGCTACGTCATCAAGGACTGAGTTGAGAGGTTGATGGCTATAGGATAGATACACCTCCAGGATAGTGACCTAGTACAGCATAAGGGCAAGGGAACATCCTTAATCGAGAGTTTTCCTAAGTCAAGGCTTAGGATGTAATTAACTACGGGGGCTTGCGCCCGTAGGAAACCGATCCCCACAATCAAATAAACCCTATTCGATGCTGATGTATCGAATAGGGGAAATCTAGTGAACTTTTGGGTTACGTATATTATTATCCATCGAGGTTGGTAGGTGAAAGCCGCTATCTTCCATGGCTAATCGTATACATAACTCCATCTGCTCTTCCATCGGCCTGCTTGTGTCGATTGTAAAGGCCTACGACCATTTTGTCCTGCGGGATAGTGTGATCGTACCCTTTGCATTCGAAACACATTAGCAGAATCCTTTCGGAGACCCACACCTACTTATCTGCGTCACAGGATGACGCCACCTCCATCCTTCTCTCACGTATGTGATTGGATGCCTTGACTTTTATTTTCTCCAGTTTCCATTTAGTACCCTATAGCCTCTGAATGCTGGTGTGAACAACGCATGTTGATTGAGCCTCTTTGAGACCTTTCTTTCCTTTAAGTAGGATTTCCTAGTCTTCACTCCTGTGTCAATCCCACTTTAGGAGGGGATAATGTATGATCCTTAATCGAGAGTTTTCTCAGGCTCCGGCCTAGGATGTAATTAACCACGGGGGCTTGCGCCCGTGGAAAACTCGGTCCAACATCTACTAAACCCCATTCGAACTGTTGTATTGGGTGGGGGAAACCCGTGACTAGGTCGTGTATATTACTATCCATCGGGGCGTGTTGGCGACAGCCTCTATCCTCAATGGTTAGTCGCATGCACGATCCAATCTGTCCCTTCCAATCGACTCGTTCACGCGGTGCTCTTTCGGAGGTACACAATAATATCTATAGTTATATGCATCAATGAGCTCAATATATAATTGCTCTATCATAACCTAAGAATCAGGGATAAGCAGACTCTCCTAATCAACTTTCTTGTTGTCAATACAATATCACAATCCTCAATGAATTTTCTTCAACATTTCATGAACTTATTGCAGTTAGTGACACTCATAATCATATTATTATTAGTTTTTTATAATCATGTCATTATCTCATTAATTTTTTACTAATTTACTTGATGTCAATAGTTATATACTATTGTAAAAGTTATTGAACTATTGTATAGATGAAATTAGGGTTGCAAGCGAACCAGATGTTCGACGAGCTACTCGTTGTTCGGTTCGATTAATGCTCGTTTGTGATCGTTTAATTAACTAAACAAACAAATTTGAACAATATTTTAAATACCCGATCCTTAAATAAACAAGCTTAAACACTAATGTGTTCGGCTCATTTTATGTTCACGAACAACATCATTTAAAGCTCATGAACAAGCTTGACATTAGGGTCGATAAGAAGCTCGATAAAAGATCAATTCGTGTTCGATTCATGTACCATAGACATTTCACATTTGCCCATGTTTACTTGATTATTTGTTTAAAATATTCATGAACAAATATAAAATAAATCATAGATCACTTGTTCGTGAACGAGCTCATTTGGTAGTTCAAAAAAACTAGTTATATATGTTAGTGAACTTGCTCATTTGATAGCTCAAGAATAATTGTTAGATATGTTTATGAACATGCTTGTTTGATATTTTAAAAAATCACTAAATATGTTCGCGGACATGCTTGATATAATTATTTGTTAGGAGGTTTGATAAAGCTCGTTTGTTAAGTTAACGAACATGTAGAAGCAGAGCTCGTTTATAGTTCTTTGGATTGTTTGTTTAAAGCGCGATAAGCACTAAACGAACTGAACATGAATCGAACATGAACCAAACATGAACACTTAATAATTTAAACGAACCAAACATGAACACAAACAATAAAGCTCAAATCAAACACAAATCAAACTTGAACAAGCTGATAATAAATGAACACAAACATGAACAATCACATACTCAGCTCGGCTCGGTTCGTTTGCAGCCCTAGATGAAATATCGATTCTATAATTAATTTAATTAAATTTAGGTTATACTAAAACAATTGTTTATCAATTGTAAAAATGACATACTTTTTTTTTGAACGGGATATTCATCCGCTGTCATCCCCGAAAGGGCGCTTGACTGCATGACTAATCCTCAACTGACCTAAAAGAGACACCTACCCCAAAAACCTCCTGATCACCTTAAAAGGCGATGTCGCTCAAGGAGGATAGAACATAAATTGAGAGTTACTAATCGTATTCGTGTATGAACCAAGTTAAACAACGGTGGATAAAATGACAGAATTTAAAATACTTAACAAAAGCTGCTTACTTTGCAAAACTTAGCACCTGGTGGGTGTAGTCATTGAATTCCCAAAAGGACAACCACCGCTGAAGTCATCTCGCCCCACTTCAAAGACAATGCGCGCGCGCGCGGGACCCCTTAGTTCCTCTTTGGTGGATCTGACACGTCCATCTCTTGCAAGCTGCAGTGGGCAGAGCATTTCAGTCATCCATCATCCAACCACCCACACCACCATCCCCGCTGCCATTCCTGAAAGCAACAAATTTGCAGAAACTGACACGATAGATTTTAGTCGTCGAAGAAGAAAGAAATTTCTTTTTTTCTCGCAATAACTTACTTATCTAAAGATTCTGTATTTTCGACAATCTCCCTCGCCGCTTGCGAAGAATTCTTCATCACCAAGGTGGTCGGACTGACGCAGGAAGAAGGAAGACGGTATCTTTTCAACATAACTCTTGTAAAAATTGCAGCTTTTTCTTTCTTCTTTCAGGATGGAGCCTTTCAAGAGCGGCTTAGTACCCCAAGGCTTCTGCTTCGAGCAAGGGACCGACGGCGGTGGCGGCGCCACGGCCGGAGCGCTGGATATATTTATCCACCACGCGCGCAACATTCATAACATCTGCATCTACGCAAACCAAGACGTATATGCCAAGTTCTCCCTCACATGCAATCCCGACGACGCGATCTCCACCCGGATCATCGCCGGCGGCGGCAAGAACCCGCAGTTTAATGAGCGGCTTCAGCTCCAGGTTAAGCACAGCAATCCCGCCGCCGCAGTGCTGAAGTGTGAGATCTGGATGCTGAGCCGCGCACGCAACTTTCTCGAAGACCAGCTCCTCGGCTTCGCGCTCGTCCCACTCTCCGCCGTCGCGGAAGCCGGCGGCGGCCGGTTGACACGGGACTTCTCTCTTTCTTCCACCGACCTCTTCCACTCCCCTGCCGGCACTGTCCAGCTCTCCCTCTCATTTGACGACAAGCCGTATGCGGAATCCAGCATCAGCAATTCTTCTTCCATAAGCTCGGAGTTTGTCATTCTTGATCCAGCGAGGATTGAGTTTCCTGAAATCAATGTGGATAAGGAGAATCAGCAGATGGTTTCTGAGTATTTCTCAATGAGTTCCAATGTTCCTTTTGTTCAGCTTGGAGGTTCATCAGAATCCATGGAGGATTGTGAAATGACTGTAAATTCAAGCGAGTCTCCAGGTGGAAGCAGTCTTCAGAATTCTGGTATTTTCAGTACTTCAACTGTCACAAGCATCGGCGATGATAGGCAAGTTATAAACACAGTGAGCGGCTCTGGTTCCAAAGGGGCTTCTCCTGATACTCCCACTTCCAAATCTGGGAAGGGGAGTACTAAGGGCTTAGCCAAGGAAGATGAAGATGGTGGCAGTGGCGGCGGCGGCGACGGCGGTGGCGGCGAAGATGGAGAACTGGGTTCTGTCTTCAAGTATCCTCTAGGGAATATCAATATAGAGCCTGAGCAAAGTGCAATGCAACAGCAAATAGTGGACATGTATATGAAGAGTATGCAGCAATTCACAGAGTCTTTAGCCAAGATGAAGCTTCCAATGGATTTTGATAAACCAAAATCGGAGGATGATGAGGATTTTATCCAGAGCCAGAAAGGAAACAAGAATTTGGATTCAAATAAGAAGGATGGATCCAGAGTTTTCTATGGCAGCAGAGCATTTTTCTGATCAGTGAAACTAGTGTTTCTCATTAACAGGGATTAGTGACACTTAGGCTTCGTTTGGGACGGTTTTTTACTTCTTCTTAAATCAGCTTGAATTAACAAATTGTTTTAAGAAGCATAAGAAAGCTGTTCCAAATGGAGCCTAATTTGATTTAATCTCAGAAAAAATGCACGCAGGAAAGTTATCATAACTCTTGATGCTTTTTGATCATTCATAAGTTTGTCTTGTGAAGTGCTATGAATTAATTTATTTGTTAGATAGAATAGTAGAGAAGAAAGCTCGGTGCTTTTGAAGTTCTTTCTTTGGGTAGGTCTTACTACTTATTTTATTGTGATGATTTATTGAGAGTAGTTTGTTGTTTGGTAAACCATCACATCCATCCCCTTGCTGGTTTTAGACGGAAAGGATATGTAATTCTTCAGTAATTCCATTGTCAGAATATATATAACATAGTTGGAACTGTCTTCTAAGTCAAACATGTGATTTTCATTCTTTGAAAAATGAATATGTTATGATGTAATCAAAACATGACATGCAGAAATGACAATTATATGCACAAAATCTGCTGCAACAATTTCCTTTGACTGAGGATTAACTCTTTTTTTCTACAAGAACCTCATGATTTGGGGAATCAAAGTTTAATCCTTTGGATATCAAAGGGATGTAACACCAGGAAGAAAAGATTGCAATTTGCGAAGTAAATTATTAGGGCATTTCCAACCGAAAATCCTAGTTTTCACTCAATGCGCGCTTCTGCAAAGGTAACCGTCTCTTCTCCTCTTTCGCGCATTTCTTCGGCAAATCCGATTGAGACAGAAAAATCGTGTAAGCGAACAGTGCAATTTCAATATTGGTGTTGCAGTGTTCACCCTCCACCAATTAGCAATTTTTTTTGCCGTTCAAATGGAACAAATCAACTATGCCTTGCAGTCGTTTAAAGTTCAGCCGGAGACACCCTTAGCTCTGTATCTGGTACTAAACTTGAGGTAAATATGAAGAAAAAAAAAAAGAAAGAAATACAAATAAATCAAATTGCAGCTTCTAAATAGATTCTATACAAGCAAACGAAGCACATTATCGACATACACATGTACTAAAATATGATACCAATTATATTTTTTTTATGAAACCTTCTTGAGTATTTTTCTCTCTCGCTGCTTGGAACTGTAATTGGTGTTAATTCTAAACATGTCTTCTGAAGTTTGAAGACCTGTTCAGTAGATTAGAATTACCAATCTACAGATATCTGTTTTGTTTTTTTTCAATGTGAATCTCCTGCTTTCATTTTATTGGAAGAAATTGCAATCTTTGGTATGCAGCTCTACACAACAACAACAACATCAAGCATTTGTCCCAGTACATGAGGTCAGCAACATGAATCCTTTCTCTATTGTGTCATGTTAAAAGTCAAATTCTCATTTAAATCTAATAAATAAAGGTCATGTCTAATATTTTCTAACCAAGTCTTTTTAGTTCTACCTCTACCCTTCTTATCATAAGTCAAATCTAATACATATACTTTTCTAACCGGGTCATCGGAAGGCTGCCATTTTATGTGACCAAACCAACTAAAGCGACTCTCTCTAATCTAATCTTCCACTGGCGCTACTCCAAACTTTTCATATATATACTCATTTCGTATCCTATCTCTAAGGGTAAAGCCACTCAACCACCTGAGCATCCTCATCTCTACAACACTTAACTTAGTATTCTACTTCTCTTTTAATGGCCAACAAGCATTGCAGGTCTCACCACCATCTTATAGAATTTTCCCTTTATATTGAGCTGTCTAATTTTATCTTCAATATAATTTTCTTATAGTTAATGGAATCGGACATTGTCTCTAATTTCTCCCCTCCCCAACCCCCAATACCCATTATTGTCACTTTTTACCCACTTCTGCTTGCGTAACAGAAGCCTATAAGATATACTTTCAAAGATTCGCTTCAATAACAAGGGGTTAGTGGGGTTGTGTCATACGCCAATGTCAAGGTTTATCAGAATAACAGGTATTCAGATATCAATCTAACTCAAAATAATTGCCAGAAAGTCAGTTGAAGCCTAGCTGGATGAATAAGAAAATTAGAGAAAAAAAGGTCCATAATCACAGCTGCTTTTCTGTATACACTTCTGTCAACAAGACAATTCCAAACAATCAAACAAAAAAGAATTGATAGGGTGCACTCAAATTAAGATAATAGTTTGTATTTCAGACAATTTGTGGACCAGAGAAACACAATTTCAGTTTTGTTTGAGCCTGTTTTCTTTCCGCTTCTTGAAGCAAAATTTTTGTACTAGAAAACTATTTCAAGAAGCATAAAAAAAATCATCCCAAATGAAGCCTTCATCAAAATATGATGATCGTCTCTTCTTTTTAAGTACTTTGGTGTTGACAGCGCCACACAATCTTTATCCAGCTGTTTCTATGGCTGTCAAAAAGCTAAACGACTCAAATGCAAACATGGATGTCTATTGATCATGTAGCAAATACTGTAACACTGTACATAAGATTTAAACATTCTTCTTTCTACAGCAGATTCTCCTATCTTTCTTAAAGCTCCTCTAAATTGAGTTTTAGCATAAATTTGTGGAGCTGTGTTAGACTTCATTTGGGATGGCTGTTTTACTGTTTCTTAAATAGGCTTTTTAGTAAAAAAAAAAATTGTACTAGAAAGCCGCTTTAAGAAGCAGTAAAAAAGTCGTCCCAAACGAAGCCGTAGTAAAACCCTACTTTCTTAGAAAAAAAAATACGCATAAAAATGAATATGATAAATGCACAACGTAATAGGAATGAGATAAAACTCATAAGATGATAATAAGATTTATGTGGTTCATCCAAAATTTCTAGCCTAGATCCAGGAAAAAGAAGTTAGGAACCGTTTTACTATCATTATATTTATAAGCATTTAATTTTTTTAGATCTGTAGTTTCAAACAGAACTTTAAGGATTGGTTCTTAGATTTCATGAAACCAAGAAGCCCCTATTTTCTTAGGCTTCTGTTGAGATGATTTTTTTCTGCTTCTTAAAATAATTTTTTAGTACAAATTTTAAGTTTTATTTGAGATGATTTTTTTACTTCTTAAAGTAAAAGTTTTTGTATAGTAAAATTATTTTAAGAAGCAGTACAAAAGTCATCCTAAAGTAAACCTTTATTTTCGTACTAAAAACTAACTTTAAGGAACAGTAAGAAAACCGTTCCAAATAAAGCATTAGTTTCAAGGGGATTGGGATCCACAATAATACCTCTTGATTTACACGCTATGCTAACTATTCATATTTTCTTAAGAATGATGAGCATACATAAATTTAATGAAAGAGAGATTTAATTTCAGAATTTTGATACTAACTTCCAAGATTTTTATGAATTAAGCTTGTTAACACCAACTAATAATTCCCAATTCTGAAAGTTGTAAGGGAATCACATAAGACAAAAAAATTACTTATTACAGTGTACTTCTCTTTTACAATAAGGATTTAAGCTAAAAGTTAATTATAGAAGAAATGATTAGGAAGCTTATCCATTAAACCTAGCCAACTAAGCATTACTTATTTCTTTCTCGCACTCTTGGTTTAAGACTTTAAAAAACTTTGACTATGATATTATGAATGCTAATAATGAGAATTAAGATAATAAATAGCAAGTAATACTAATAATTTAATTTCCTTTTTCAAATGTTTTAATATAATTTTAATTTATAATATGATATAGAATCGAATTAATATCTCTATTTCATTCTTAAGAATATTTTACAAATTATAATTTTACTCCAAAAATTCATTTCAAAAGATTGTTTTGTAATTATATTTTTTATTTCTAAAACAAACAATGATTAAAAAAACATGATATATTATCAAAATTAAACTGAACTTAAGAAATTCGGAGAAAAAAGCTGCCAGAATATTCAGATCAATATTAGGCTTCATTTTGAAAAGTTTTTTATTGTTTTCTAAATCAATTTTTTAGCACAAAAAATTTTTATTCAAATATTTTTTTTCTAAAAAAAAAAATTAGAAAACAATAAAAAGTTAGTCCCAAACAAAATATTAATTAGGTTGAGTCTCTCGGACATTGTATTAATTTTAAGATAAATATAATATATGAGTAATCAATTTATATTATATTAAACTTATGATAAAATAAATTAAAATTATTCTGAACAAAATATAAGTCAAAATACACCAACCCAAATTGTTTCCAAAAAGTTGGTGCCAAAACTTTATGACATCCTAAATTTTGAAACCTTTTTCCACACACGATCAACTTATTTCGAATAAGGCAAAGCCTAAATGCACTCTCATGATAGCAATTTGAATTTGAGTGTTAAAGCATAAATTTGATATAGGCGAAGTTTTACTTCTTCATTCTTTAACAACTAAGTTAGCTGCCACCGATAAACTGTGATGTCCCATAATCTAATTTGAAAGAATTATTCTTTTATCTTTTAATATATAACCATTAGAGCTACATAACTTCTATTATCAATATAAATACTTACGGAAATAAAACTATCGATTAAAACATCAATATAGACATTTGTATTCATTTTCTCAAAAATCATGTATTTTAATCATGATCTATACAATCATATCACAATTACTCTGTCATTAATACAATAGAATAATTAAAATAACAAGAATATGAACTTAAATGATCCTAGTCAATCTCACACTCCTCTCTTGCCCTGACTTAAAATTATTTAATCACATATAATTAACTAAAGAGCGCAACAAGTAAACAAATCCTACAACTAAACACAAAGTATGACGAAAGAGCAATATGCATGTTAGTAGTCAAATTATAACAGTAGCATTAATATGATCATGAATCAATACAAAAAAAAGTAAAACGTACATGCAGTAGTAATAAAGTCTGTAACGAGTAAAACAATGCAATACATAAACTAATAAAGCAGTACAATGTAAAAATCAGAAAATCAGTACGGATGTCGAATCACTAAAATAGTCATCGTATCAATACTATTAATTAGTTGAAAAATTATATAAAGCGGGAAAATCAAAACATCGATAAAAATTGTTTAAACTCACATCAATGTAATAAAATCGTATAAGAGTGTATACATATTATCCATATATTCTATTTCAATATCAAATTAACTGATCTCCATCATTTGCCCTTATTATCAACCATCATATATATGTTTCTAAAATCCTGATCATAAATTTAATTCACCATGATATGATTGAGCATTACGACCACATTCAAAGTATAATATATACTTTGATAAAATTTATTACAGAGACTTTTAGTTATGCACAAAAATCTCAAATAGAGATTGTGGTCTGATGGCACTTGTTGAAAAGTGGTGGTCCGATGATGATGATGATAGCTTAGGAACAACAATTTGGTAAATGTTTAGGAACCTACAAACCTTTGGGCTCTCTCCTCTCGGTGCAATCTACATTAAGGTCTCCCTTTATATAGGGAATGGAGGTCTATGTAAAAGTGTTATTTTAATAAATCTAGTCAAAATCTCAAAGCAATCCATCGAACAACATATATGACTCCTTTGATTTAGACCTTCCTTTCAATATTTAAGTACATTAATGATATTGGAATTAAGCGATCTTAGATCCGTTGGACTTTATCCTCAAGATGCTTGATTTTACTACAAGGTTACAATATTTAAAGATCATTTGATCATCCAATTAATTTCATAAAGCTTTCAACTATGCTTCAAACATTTAATTTGGACTTATTTGGAATTGAGTAATCACTTTTGGAGTTGATGGGTTCTCCTTTTTGAGACATTCAATTCAACTATAAATTTACTAGAATCAAAGTTTGGCTGTCCCCGAATGCAATTCCAAAGGTTTTTAAGCATCGAGATTTGTATTTTATCAAGTGGATTTTCTAATGACTTATCAAGTTATATAATGCTTTGCTCTATAAAGATAAACCCCTCAACACTTCGTACTGAATGAAGGCTATCTATCTAAAAAGATCGGATACATGTAATTTATTTACAAATGCCGATATTCAGCAATGCATATGATAAAATTATGGTTGATTAAGAACCACATCATTCAATCTAAATAATACAAGGAAAAAGTTTCAGCTAAGGTTTCAATTTTCTCCCAATGATCGCGTATCGTAAAATATTTGGTTACAGGAAATATAAAGCAAGCCTTGCAATATACGCTATAATATGTACACAACAAACCAACAACATAATTTTCAGCCCCTTCAAATAACTACAGTAAAAGGGAAATAAGGAACGAAAAAATATTACATTTATTTTTGGCAATGCTTTTAATTACACATTCATGAGATACTTTTTAAGCATCTTAACTTTATCCATACAAATAGAATAAATTCAGGTTATTTGTTAGCATAAGTTTTAGGTTTCGTTTAGGACGATTTTTTTACTGCTTCCTAAAACAGTTTTTTAGTTCAAAATTTTAAAATTTTGTATTAAAAAGTTGATTTAAGAAGCAGTAAGAAAGCCGTCCCAAACAAAATCTTAGTCTTCTTTAAATAGCAGGTTGGAAGCTGTTGCAAGAGACATTAAGAAGGCATTGAAGTTACCATGGCTCAGTGCTATTCCAAAAACTTTCATGAAATGTTTGCTTGCTCCACCCTTTCTCAGCTAGTATGAGATTGACACGAGCTTCCAGCTTCTTGACAATGTCTTCCTCAAATTCATCCCTTACATATGGCGCTGACATCTGCTCGGCAGTTCAAAACATCAGTGTTTAGTTCATGAAAGTTCTATTAAGGCTAAATTGCTGCTCATTCATTTGAGTTAACAGTTACCCGTGCACTTTGATACAGTTTTAGATACTCCGAGCAGTCTTCATAGTGGCCACAATGGTACAGTAGGACTGCATAATCTCTTAGTTCTTCGAGCTCGGTTCCCAGTATGATTAGGCGCTCACAAGCTGTCAAAAGTAATTTAAGAGAATAATGATATTTTGTCTGCGGAGACCAACAAAAAATAGATGATTTCACATTTCTCTTACTATATGAATTCATTCCACGCCAATAAACTATGAATGCACATGAGGCTATAGATTTACTCTCACATCATATTGTTGAAAAATAGGTTGATGTTAAAGTTTTTCCAATTGGAAATGGAATTGACAAACGATCTATCAAGCCCAAATTCAATCCCCTTTTGATTCACAATTCCTAATGGAAACATATCAAACTACACTAGAAGGTAGAGATGCAGAAACAAAATATAAAAGCTTATAAACTTGTGCACCATAATAATCGAACCACCAAATGACATCAAACCTGTTATTATCAAAATAGGTGGGGCTGTAATCCAAACTTAGATTAGAGTTATTGAACATAAGAGATTGGTGAATCCAAACAATTCAAGAGGATGAGACTAATTAGATGCTTAGACCAGAAAATTTGGACTTTTATTAAGATAGGCATTGCATTGCTTTAATTACTAATGTCTACTTACCCATAATCGTATTTGGGATCAAACTCAGCCATAGTGCACCTTTAAATGATGGCTTTCTTCATAGAGGAGAGAAAAATCCCATTCATGCCTTGTTAGGCTCCTAAGTCGTGTTGCTTTTGGCATGCACCATTGGAAATTTCAAGAGGATTGCTTTTCAGCTCAGATAAGAAGTTGATCTGATCACCAATCTTACATGGGTATTGCTCTCTTCATCGTCTAAGGCGTGTGCAGATGATGAAAGTGTGTTCCAAGTGCAGTTAGCATCATCCACTGTTGCACGTAAGACATGTGTCCCTCTTGCACATAATGGAAGCTTTTTTTCATTAAGGTTCCATGTGTCCTCTGCCATTCCTTGTATTGCCTAACTTTTGGAGAAGTAGGCTGAACATTTTGAGTTTGCACAAAAAGATCGGTTAGGTCGTGGAGCCATTTTAAGTTTCTACAACTAGCCACTTGGATGTGTATTTGGGATTTGTACACGACTAATTATTTTTAGTGTTCTTGCCCAGGTGCAATTTCTACAATGACCAGTTGGTTGCTTTACAGTTGAGCAATATAATTCTTGAGTCAATCACAATCTCTAAGCTGAATGGGTCCATTGACCCATCTTTCTTGACCTGTGTTCAATACACAACTAAATCTCACTTCTTATACCCAAACAAATTTGATCCGTCTAGTCATGCAAGTAGTAGTCAGTAGTCACCGTTGATTTGGGTCAAGTTGCCCATCCGTCAAGTCATGAAAGTAGTAGTAAGTAGTCACCATTGATTTGGGTCTTGCCCATCCGTGAGTCATGCAAGTAGTAGCCATTAATCACCATTGATTTGGGTCAAGTTGCCCAGTAAGAGACTAGTTGTTAGGATCGATCCTTAATGAGGATTTCTAGGAGGGAGCCTTCCCCTACTACAAGTCACTGAAAAATGGACAAGGGTTTAGTTGGAAGTAATTGATTATGGTTAGTTGCTTACTAATATCTAACCAGCAGAAGTTGGCCATTTTTGTCCAACTAGTGGTACTCAAAGAAAAAGTGCAAGCCTAGTGCTCAACAGCGATGCTCATCAGGGGAGTACTATGCAAGAAGAGTTCATCCTTTAGTAAAGCTTAGGTTTGGCCATATAATCAGCCACACTTAAGCTTGATTGGAGTTGATCCTTTGTGTGCCTTCACCCATAATGTTAGTAACATCATACTCCAAGCATGGAATATTTTCTCGTGCTAACACATGTATGGCTCTCCAATCATCTATGGGGAAGGGGCAATTTTGTCTCTTTCATAACTTCCCCTCATTACACTCGCCTTCCTCTTTTGAGAAGTGAGAAATTAGTTTACTGAGATAAAAAATTTTGGTTATGCTTCTTGATCTACATCAACAAGGGGAAGACACCTTTTGAGTAGGTGTGGACTCCTTAAGAAAGAAGAAGGAGAGGAAGAGAGACTAGAAAGTGAGAAACCATAAATTATTTCATTCAATATCCTTGTCTTACAATAAGTGAGGTATTTATAATGTTTGGATAGACCAAGTTTATAATATAGACCAGATTTATAATATATAACTGGTTTACCTAACCAAACTTAAAATATAATATATAAAGAAAGTAATGCTTATTATATATGTTTAGACTATTTACTTTGTACTTTATTTTTCCAAAGATATATTGTTGATGTATGATAATGTCCCATCAAAATTTCCTTGATCATTGAATTGATGGATCGCATGCATTTATGAACAGAGCATAAAATTTTATTATCATTTCGGTCCACTAGGTTGGTACAACCTACACCTTTATTTTTTCCTCATCGCATGAGACTCTTTCAAAGCCCAAATGCACATGTTCTAGTGTTTAAGTATTTTATAAGATTAATTTGATAAGTTTGTGCAGCAAAACCAACTTAAACCAATATACTTATATTTCAATCACTAATTTTAACTTAATCATTCCTTAACCCATTACAAGTTTGTGTTATTATATGTTTAAGATTAAATGAATTAATAATAAGGTCTTTTATTTATATTTGAGTATCATATTATTCATCTTGTGCTTAAGATTGATTGTTAATATTATAGCTTATCATATCTTCTGTAATTATTGACCTACACTACAATTATCATGTGTGATATAACTTGTAGGGTTATATAAAACTATAAATATGTGTTTTCTAATATTAGCGAGTGTATTATATTTAGATTGTGGTTTTTATCACTTAGATGCTCATTTGTATTAGTCTATAAAAATTAGTAATATCTTAGTTTGAATACGTGTACATTAAATTATGTATTTTATTTATTTGTATTATTTTTAGCTTTTGCACAAAGCTTCTGTTAATATATTACTTTTGTTCTATGCGATTACTTATATAGCTTCCACATAATGTTTGATTGTGTGAGATTGGATTGGTTGAATTTTGTAAGAAAATTCTAAAGTGTAAAATTTGTGCCTACAATTCACCCTCCTTTTTGTTGTGTCTTAAACTAGCATCCCCATAAAATTATGACAATTCAAATAAAGACAAATAAGGGCATTACATACCAATACATAAATTATAACACTACATGAAAAATGTCTAAATGATTGAGCAAACACAAAAATGGTCTGACTTAACAAAAAGATTCTTCTCAGTTTGATTCAGTTACTTCTCTTGCTACCCTGAAGGTGTGATCCTTCATTATCGCTAAATACATATGCAAGGCATAAAAACATGTAGTCTAAATCTATAATACTCAGAACAACTAAAGAAGAAAAACATTCACTTACCTGCCAATGCACGTCTCATATCTCCAAAACGAGCATTGGTCCATACTCCACGCCCCAGCCTATGTTGAGCGGCCTTGGCGGATGCCATCTCAAGCCCTCCATATGACTTGGAATTACTCTCTCCAGAAATGATAGGTGCAAACACATGGTTTGCAGCATATGCTGCTCTTAAAAATAAACTACTTGGATGGCCATACTGGAATGGCCAGAAAGCATCCTTCAAATTTCTTAAGATCTACATAAAAATACGAATCAGAAAATAACAACAGATGCTCAGTGAGCTGCACAAAAAATCATTGCACAACTCTGTAAACACCAGAACAGGGATGTTGAATGACAAAAGTACAAAACAAAATTAGAAATTATCCAAGCATACAAAGTATTGTTGAGCTAATTATTTCCCTGATGCAAACTCTAACCATATTCCATACCCCATCAAAGATATGCCTCAGCTTTGCAATCTTACTTGGAAGAGGCTGTTAAACGTAAAAATCATTTGATGCAACACATTAAAGCATTTAATCCTGATAAACCATCAAATTCTTGTTCAATCTATCTTATCTACCAGCATACTTTTCATATTGTTTGGTACATAAACACTGCAATATGATCTCTTGTGTCAATAGATTTCGTTCATCTTGACTTAATAATTCTACTCATATTGTGATACGCCCTAGGGTTCCACAATTTCGGTTTGCCCTAATTTCCCCAAAAAATGAGGAATTTCTCCACCAAAAGCAAAGAGAAACAATCACAAGAGGGTTGAGATGAAAAGCAAGAACCTTTGCATTAGAAAGTCAAGAGAAAACAAGATAAGTTTGTCCACTTCAAGAAGGACAAGATCTCCCACAAGAAAACCCTAGAAAAGAACAAGAAGGAAACTAGAAGAAGAAAACTAGAAAGAGAATACACTTTTCATAATGCCTCCAACTAAACCCTACTGGCCCCCTTCATACAATCCAAAAGTCCCTCACATACCCAAATTACCCCCACTTAAGTGGGTGGGCCCCTTAAACCCTAATGGCCCCCTTCATACAATCCAAAAGTCCCTCACATACCCAAATTACCCCCACTTAAGTGGGTGGGCCCCTTAAACCCTAATGGCCCCCTTCATACAATCCAAAAGTCCCTCACATACCCAAATTACCCCCACCTAAGTGGGTGGGCCCCATTTTGTCCAGCCGGTCCGCCCGCCTCCTATAGACCCGCACGGGTCTAGGATGGACCGGGTGAACCGGTCCATCATATTGTTTGGCCTTTCATTGTAAACAGATGATAAAAATAAAACTTATTAACAGATGAGGAGGAAATCAATCTTGTTACGCATGCAAATGGCTATAAAAGTGTGGCTATGAGTTTAGCTTCGGTTTGAAGATCAATTGAAAATCGGATCAGCTTTTGGCTTGAATTGAGCTCGGGTCAAAGTTAACAAGCTATGTGTCTTGATCAAATCAAAATGTATATTCATGTATCTTTGAATGCATATGGACATAATTATGCGAATTGAAGTTAATTGTTATACTTGTCTCAAAACAAAATTGAATTGAGCCATCCTATAAACAGATTTGGCTTAGCTTGAGATGAGATTGATAGCAACCCTATCTTAAGTTATTACTACTTATTCATACAAATAGCTTCTTTATAGAGAACCAATGAATAAACAATGACAAGGAATCAAGGTAACAGTATAGCGTAAGTCCATATTAACCATAGTTTTAGCAAGGCAAAATAGTTATACTGGCTGGCAGGTGGTCCAGGCCTCAAGTTGGATCAAGTTAGCAATTGGAGCGCATGTTGCGCATGTGTGTCTGACCAGGGAAAGCCAAGCTTGGTTCTCTGGGATTTGACTAATTTGGACAAACCAGGAAAACATGTTCAGCTCTGAGAAATGGCTATGCAAAAAAAGAGTTGAAAGTTGGCTGTAATCAAAAGAGCTGCCAGAAACAAGCCTCCATCACTGCTCCAGTGACTGCTTTTTAAGCATGTACATCTATCTCACACACCTATGATATATACATATTACCTTAGCATCATTTTGGTTTTGGGATGCTAACTTATCAAATTTAATAAGGGTCCTTTCAAAAAACCGTGCAGGAATAAAACAGATGGAAATATTTGACTAAATTAGAAATATGCAACTGCCATTTTAAGGTGTCAAATCTATTTTTATTTCATCTCACTATACCAAAAATTCATACAAATCCTAATTTATTTATCTATAATTTGAGATTCAATGTTCCTTGAATTAAAATCTATTACATACCTAAGTTAGTTATTTATTATACATCTTCATGTCTTCACACCATCTTTCTAAATTTAGTATTTTATAATTGTCCAGATATTGATCATTACAAGAAGATCTGATGACCCAGTCCTTCAATCGGGTGGATTTACAGGCTAAAGTTTGGAATTATAATTTGTTCTTATCGATTGGGAAAATCTAAAACATATACTACAAAGCGCTTTCTATAATCTGCTTTAGGAAAAATATACTATTTTCTTATAGAATATGAAAATATCCTACAATGATACACATTACAGTAGCTGTGTGGAGGATTTATAGTGGATTTGACAAAATAAATTCCAAATATAATTTCTACAACTGTAGAACTATTTAAGAGTCTATACATAGTTTCCATACACAACAAGTAACAAATACGACATCAAAAAATCTCTAATAACTATTTTAAGAGAGTCATTCTCGACGAGAACTAGTATGAAGGTTGATAAATCAACCAAGTGGCATATCAAGTCCGAATAGCTTGGTTCTAAAAAGACAGGGAGTGATTACCAGGACAAATGTCTAAACAAAGAGAAGCTCCTAGAAAGCTTCTTGGAAAAAAAAAAGGAGGGGGGGGGGGGGGGGGGAAAGGGGAGGAGGGGGGGGGGGGGGGGTTATGCAAAAATGCACAAAATCTCACATTGAAAAAAGAGGAAGGATTATTGAGGTATATAACTGTAGACCATATATGCAATTTGACTTTTTTTTTTTTTTGAGAACTCCACAACTACGCATGCTCATGTTTTAGGACTCAAAGGTAATTGACTTTCTAGGAAGTTGCATCCAAAAGGATAAAACTATTAAGTGTAGTTTGGTATGGACAAGCTAGGTCAAAATGGATAACACCTCAAACTCTCAAAGTATGTTGGCTAGGTCATTACAATTGATACCAGAGCTAGGCCACTGCTAAAATATTTGGTTCAAGTATGAGCAAAGCTGAAGGTGGTGGCCTATGATATCACAACTCAAAAGAGGGCAAGAAATGATGAGCAGAGCCCTGAACAAGAATCAGCTCCCGTCAGACTTTTAGCAGAAAGGTGTAGGAATCAAACAAATCCACATTAAAAATGGAAGAGAAGTTATTGTGATGAGGACATCGATCCAAGGTTCAAACAGGTGTATCGCCGGAAGCATCGCAGATCGACGGCCATGATTCAGAGCTTATATTTTTAGTTATTATGCATTTTATTTTATGTATTCCTTTTGTACCCTTATGTTGAGTTGAGTCATGTTGGGGCCCTGAGGGCAATTTAGTCTTTATTTCTTCATGTATACTTGAGACCTATATATATGGGTCTTGTCTCTTGTAATAGCTAATGAAGATTTGAATGAAAAAAAATTTGTGTTTCTACTTCTTCTTCTTACATGAGGGCTTGAGAAGGGAGAGAGCTCAAGGGGAGCAAATCGCAAGGCCCACCAGTCGTTGGAAGAGTCCGCGGCTTGTGGTTAGGTTTTCTATCTTCTCCTTCGTATTCACCTCCATCGTCCTTTTCCTCCACCACAAGAAAATCTCTTCGCAACCCTAGTTGCCGCCGCCCCTTGGAAGCCCGCCGCCGGCCAATCCCACGGCCCCGGCCGGCCACCTTGCCGGCGACCTTCCCCACCCATCCAATCCCTCCTTCCGCAAGTTACAAATTTGAAATTTGAATTTCAAAATTCAAATTCTTTCCTAATTGGGATTTCCAATTTAGAAAAGTTTTCATGACGAATTCCAATTTCAATTTAATTTAAATTGGAGTCTTTAATTATATTGCCACGTCATCAATCCAAATTGGAAGCTTCATCCCACTAATCTCCCTCTCCATCTCTCACCTTGCCGCCGGCCCCATGTGGGTTTTCTCCCCCATTTGATTGCTTCTTTAATGCTCCAATTAATTCATTAATGACTCCTTAATTTGAAATCAAATTTCAAATTAAGTTCCCTCTCTTTTCACTTAAAATCCTGAAATTAATTTCAGGTTTTGAGTTTTAAAACCCCCTCCCTCCTCTAATGAAACCGCCGCCCCCCATATTGGGCTTCCCCCCATTAATTCTTTCCATTAAGGGATTAAGTGCAATCAAAGTTTGGGATTCAAATTCCAAATTACTCCCTCCAAAACCACTTGAATCTGAAATTTATTTCAGTTTTCTAAAGTATTCCCTCTCCCTCTAGCTCACGGCTAAACCCTCCTCTCCCAAATCACTGGCTGCTCTCTTGCAACCTACTACCCAGCTGAGTGGACAAATCCGGGCTGCTGTCACCAGTCCAGGAAAGCCAAAATCAGCAAGGAAGGGGTCCAAGAAGGCCTCCCAACTGCTGCCCAGGACTTTCCCAAGTCTTCCAAGTGGTTTTCCCAAGTTTTCTACAAAACAAACTGCTGTCCCTGCTGTCACAGCTGCTGTCTCCTTCGCCTAAGCAAGTCAAAGACTAAGGTTCTTTAATGAATTTACTTGTTATTTCAATAAGCTCTTAATTGTAATTCCATTGTCAATCATTTTTAATTTTCTTAAGAAGCTCCTTCGCATGCGGTATCACATCATATTGGGCAATACAATAATTGGACCAAATATTCAAGGTGGATTTTGGTGTGGCAGTCAAATTTGCTCTAGTAATAACAATCATAGGATGAATGACTGCCCACAAAGCTGCACCCAAAAATATAAAACCGTGAGATTTAGCAATGTATGGGTCAACTAATTATAAACCAAGTATCTAATACTATCATCATATGTTGATTTTCTTCACAATGAGGTTTTATGATACTGGTAGAAAGTTATGATTAAAACTAGTTGCCTAAATTCTGCATTGTTTATCAGTGTATGAACAGAGATACATGTATAAGTACAGACTAGCATCCAATGTCCAAATTTGAGTGCCTCCAAGTTCATCATGAATTTAGTTTGAAGAGGATTGTTAAAATAACTTTTTCTTTTTTTAAATCTTACCTCCACTAATAACGACTTCGATGTCAAAATATGTGGTTGATCTGAGAATTTACTTTTCTGCCTCTGATAACCACTAGGAAGACTAAAAAAATCACTAGGGTAGTAAATCTCTGCATCGAAGTCGAGAAAGCCACACACTCGTAGTGTTTTCAACATTTCAGAGTAAATAAGTGATAGCATGACAGCGGACCCCGACCTACAGGTCAAAACCTGCAGCATTTGGTTAATTTTAAATGCAGTGAGTGACAATTCTCTTCAAAATATTAATAAGATATAAATACTAAATAAGATGTGAGGGTAAGAATTTACAGAATGAAGATACAACGCTCTTGCATCAGACATCATCTCTGTCCTGCAAAAGCCCTGGCCAAACAAAATAGCAAAGCACTTGAGGAAGCTCCCAGAGGTGGGACAAATGAAAGAGAAATATAGAAGAAGAATGAGAAAACAAGCTTTAAGGTTTTAAACAAAGAAAAGTAAATATAGGCTAAAAATTGGATGTTTAAATGAGTGCAGAATCTCCAGGGTTTTGAACAAAAATTTTGCAATATAATGATCCTCAATCTGGGAATAACACACAACTCTCCTTGGCCTATTGGTTGAGAGCTTAGGCTTTCAACTAAGAGGTCCAAGGTTCGAGTCCATGTGTATGCGTTGTGTGTGTGAGTTTGCCTTAAATGGCCTAAATGTCCCAAAAAAAAATCTGGGAATAACATTAGTCCTATTATCGTTTTACCTATGACGCGTTTATAGAGACATGGCTATAAAAATTTGAAGAAAATATAGGACGAGCGAGCGCGAGATTCCTCAGTGAAACAAGCTCAGTACCCACGCATTGTAAGCTGAGCATGTTTCTTAACAGTTAAAATTAAAAACATAGCCATTTCAGTACAACTGTACTCTATCATATGACCTTTGTACTATTTGGTTATCCAAAATCGAATTGAAGAAGCCAGCGCAATGCTTACAACAGACACAATGATCATAACAATACCACAAGACGAGCAGACGGCGATTACCTTGTGCACATAGAAGAATCTATCTAGGTTTCCAAGAAAGACCTCAGGCGGAGCCTCCGATGGAGGCAAGTAGAGGGAGCAAAACTCCATCGACAGATCATCGAGCCTCTCAACAAAGGCCTCGACCGGGAGCGGAACCGACGAATGAGATACGAGCGAATCGTCCTCGGCCGCGATGTGCAGCGCCGTGCGCGCCAGATCCGCCCCTCGACTGATCGTAATGCTAGTCTCCGCATCGATTTTGGTGAGCCGCGCTACTTGCTGCCGAAACTCTTCCCTCGCCGATCGCGCGTGCCTCGTATCGATCCCTGCCGACTCGAGCGAATCGTGTAGGATGAGCCGGAGGCTGTTTTGACTGCCGGTAGTGACCAGCTCCGGCGAGTCGGAGGCGGAGTTGAGGCAGAAGAAAGGGGAGGCGAGGGGCTTTTGGAACCTTTTGGAGATGGAGAGCTTGGGAGTGAGGTAAGAGGCCCATGGTGCGCGGAGGCAGCTCATAATGGCGGGGAAGAGAAACAGGGAACAGTGAAGAGTCTTGTGGTAGACGGTGGCTGTTCATATTATATATAGAACCCAAAAAAATATCCTATGATTCCGTCCATATTCCGTAGGTTAACAGCAAAAAATTAAATTAAATTAAATTAATTGAGAATTTTGATTTCACATACTCTTAGATATATTTTATTTTTTAAAATATATTTAACAATTTATTTTAGACAAAAATATCATTATTTTTAAATAAATAAAATTATAACCTATGGTAAGAATTATGATGATGATCTCTAATAATATTTTTTGGTTATTTTTTAGGACTCAAAATATTCTTTAGGTTTTAAAATCTTGAAATCATTAGTCATTTCTTGCATGCTAATTAGAGTATTAGAGTTTTTTTCAACCACATTTTCTATTAGAATAGTCATTAAAACGTTCGAATGATCTTAATAATCTTTGAATAATCGATATTTTAGAAAAATCTTCGTAGTGTCTTACATAGAGCTAAGGATTATAGAGAAAACAATTGAAAATTGAGGCTAATGACCTTATAGTCGAAGCGGAGGCTATCTCCCTTTGTTTACTTCTTTGAAGCTACAAAAACATAATTCTCAAGTGCCCTCATCCAACAATTGTTATTGAGCATGATTATAATGATGAGAATGGTCAGTACTCTATTTTATTTAACATTTGAGGGAAGAATATTACCTACTGGATTATAGAGCTTATTGTTATGATCGGATTAATTTTTGAAAGATTTTTCAACTCGTTACAAGTTCAAGTGGAAGGCTATCAGAGGACTACTACAAGTGTTTAGGCTATCAGAAGGCTACTATACGGTGTTAGAGAGCTATTTGTCCCATTTACTCTCTCTCTCTCTCTCTCTCTCTCTCTCTCTCTCTCTCTCTCTCTCTAAACCTATCATAATTAGAATTATACAAATGAAATCAAGCACTCCTATTAGAGATGAGAGAGCAAGGAAGACATCGAAAATATAATTAGCTACAAGTCAATTCATAATATCCTAGGAAAACATGAAGCTCTCCTTATCATTATTCATGAGTGAAGAAGTTCTCAAATAAGATTGGAGAATAGTTAAATAAGATTATAAGATAAATTGGATGCTTTAATCCACTTTATGTTAAGTTTTATAATGAAGCATATTAGGAGAGGATGATGAGAAAGAGGAGCAATAGGAAGAAAGCGAGAAGGGATTTGCCAGTGACCCAACCTTTGATGAGGTACATGCGAAGGGTGTGGAGGAAGGATTTGAAGAGGAGGTCGAAGGGATAAGGGGCCAATCCCTTGATCAAGGACCATTTGATGGACATTTGAATGGCTTAGAGAGGTCGGAATTTGGTGATCTTAGACTCATTGGATTCGTCTCGCCGAGCCGCTCGATTCGTTATAAGCACATTATGTTTGGAAGCCAAATTGTGGTTCGAACCTGCCAACAACGCTTCTGACCCTTGATTTGGACTCATTTGGGCTCAAATTGGGTTGAATTTGGTGTCATTGGGTTCGTAGTTTCGAGACGTTCAGATTGAATATAAGTTTGCTGAAATCGGAGTTTGGATGGTCCCAATTTTAATTTCAGAAGTTTTCAACTTGATTTTGCCTCGAGATTCATGCCCGATCAAAATAAATTTTGAGGATGCATTATATATATATATATATATATATACACACAATAATTTAATAATAGTGTGATTATACCTCTTACAATAATCTTCTTTATTGATCCTCTTCTTTATTGAACTATAGTGTTATATATACACAATAGTTTATTGATTTTACCTCTTCTTTATTGAACTATAGTGTTATAATTGTTGTGATTATACTATCTTACAAGAATTTTATTTGATCCTGGTATCCCATTGTGAATGATTATGCAATTGTGATTAGTAATCATTATATTACCACAAATTATTTATCTTAATATTAAAATCTTATTCGATCATGCAAATAAACTATTTTATTAATTTTATGAAACATGTCTTATTTAAATCATATTTGAATAATATCTTATTTGGATTTGTTTGAATACTTAATCGAACGTATATTCGACCCTTCATTAATCATGTCAAAATTTATTTACTGGTTGAATAAATTTTGATTATTTTATACAAATTTTGAATAATATCTTATTTTTTCTTTAATGGGAACGTCAAAATTCCCTTAAAGTTAACTAGATATACTCGGACTTATATTTTCTCTTATATACAGTATAATCATATATGTGACTAATTCTATAACGCGCAAGCCCAATCCAAATATATAAATAGTTTAGTCAAGAATTGAGCTTAGCTTAAACCATTTTGTACTCAAGATCATTTTATCAAAATTTTATAGTTTCTCACTCTAGCATTCTCTCTCTCTCTCTTTTTTGTTCTCATTTTCATCTAGTATTCTCAATATAGATATGAGTATAATCTTATATTTTTCCTATAATCTATAGAATAGAATAACTAAGATAAGTTACTAGTTCATCTAGAATTCAATATAATAAGTTTGTCCAAGTTCATAAATTTATTTTTTTATATTTTATTATAATAAAATTTTAATGATAATATTTTCAAAATATCTAATTTTAAATTTAAAAATAAGACATTTAATTTAACTAAATACTTTTTTTACAACGAGTTTTCATTAATTTTTTATTTTTTAAGTTTATTAGTTTTATTTAATTTATTTATATGATCTCTCAAAAATAAAAATAAAAAACATTGGAATCCATAATAATAGGAACCACTTTTATTCATTGAGATGACTTATTTTGCATCATTGAAAAAGGCTATTGTAGTTTGTTTGTTCACATTTATTTCAAATATAATGAAGGAAATTATTCCCAATAATAGCCATATAATATGAAATTATTTTAATGCATTGGAATGTTGATTAATGTAAATCATGAAGAGAAATTCATGAGCTATGCAATAAGCTTTGTATTCTATATAATTATTTGAAAAAAGAAATATGATTTATTTTTGTTAGATGTTTAAATTTTAATTTATTGTTGGAAAATAAAAATTATTTTGTGGAGGTATTAATTTTATGTAAGATTACATGAAATTTTAGTCCAATAAAATGATATATAATCCATAAAAAACTTAAAAATATTTGTTATGGAAGGATAATATTTTCTTGGAAAGAAGGGAAAAAAACTAATTTATTGAAGAAGTGATAGAATTAGGGGTGTAAACAAGTTGAGTTGAGCTCGATTCACGACATTCTCGAGATCGACTTGTAGGTTAAAAAATCAGCTCGATCTTGAGTCGAGCGCGAAAAATGAACTCTAACTCGAGCTTGGCTGATCCTTTAACTCGAAGGCTTGAGAGCTCGACTCAAGCTCGATGGGAGCTCACGCAAGAAGTCGAGCGAAGTCCCTTCATGAGCCCAAGAGAAGGATTGACGAGCTCAACGACAAGACAAATAACAAATTTTCACTTAGGAGAAGTAATAGTGTGAAGATAAAATTAGGTCTTGCTTTTACCTTGGAGAAAAACTCCATTGGAGAACAACAAATTTTATATTTTTTAGATGTATTTACTATTAATTACATTAAAAATGCAATCCTCTCAGATTTTTGAATATTTTTAAATTCATATAACTTAAAAAAAAACTTGAGTTTACCCATAAATATCATAAATTAATAAATAGCAGCTTTTATGCCCCAAAATATCTACCTAATTTTGCGAGCTCGCAAGCCAACAAGCAAGGTCTCAACAAATTAGAACCTGAGCTTGAGCTCGATCCTAAGCTTGTGGCTCGATAAACTCGACTCACAAGATCACTAACAAACTGAGTTTGAGCTTGCTCACGAGTTGGCTCGGCTAACTTACAAGTTACACTCCTAGATAGAACCCAACTTGAAAAAAAAAAAAAAAAAACACAATACATGCAAACAAAATTCCGTAATATAATAGCCTAAATTAGAGAATGCCTTCTAATTCATCAAAATTTCATTAAGAGAGCATCTTTTTTATCATTCTTATATTATCTAAAATATTAGCTGTTGAGAGGACTTCAAAAATACTCTTTCTAAAAGGTGAAATTATTTTGTGCAGATACGGACGCCTTCTGGAGGCGAAAGACGTGACACACTCTGATTTACCTCAAGACGGTTCGGCTTCCGCATAGAATAATTTATCTTTTAAAAGAGTTGATACGTCATCACAAAATTAACTTGATCGGGCACGAATCTCGAGGCAAAAGCTAGTTGGAAACTTGAGTAATTAAATTTGAAAGCTCCCAAACTTTGATTTCGTCAAGCTTATAATCAAACTGAGCGTCTCGGAAATACGAACCCAACGACACCAAGATCAGCCCAAATGAGTCCAAATCAAGAGCTCAAAGCGCTGTTGGAAGTTTCAAACCGCAATTTGAGTTACCAAACGGTCTCCGATTTTGACGAGCTTATACTCGAATCGAACGGCTCAACGAGACGAATCCAACGAGCCTAAGATCATCAAATTCCTATATCATTAAGGCCTTCAAATGACCAACGAACGATGCATGATCAAAGGATTCGATATCGGCTGTCCATTCAAACCACTCCCAATTCGCCCTTGATCTCACGCCTATTTACGGGCTATGCCACTCCAGAAAAACTATAAATAGAGCCCTCATTCTACACCAAGAGGACTCAAGTGAAGAGAGAGAAGAAGAAGAGGAGAAAGGGGAAAAGGAGATTCCTCACCTCCTCGACCACCGCCGGAGCTCTTCTTGCCGCCTGAAGACGCCGGAACTCTGCCGGATATTCGGGAGAATGCCAAAATTCTGCCCAACTTCCATGGGATGCTGAAATTCTTCCCAATTTACAAGAGAGTTCCCTCGTGACGCCGAAACTCCGCCCAAGTGAAGCCGAAGTTCTCCTCTGCCACCAAAGACGTTGGACTTCTATCCGACGTAGGACCTTCACTCTTCGCCAAGTTTCTACCCGACGCCAGACTTCTACCGGTTATCATACTTCGCTGGACGTCTATGCGAAGATGAATTTCTTTCCATTGTTGGACTTCTACCTGACGCTGTCCTACTGATCTTCGTCGTCAGACTACAGTCCTTCCGACCTCCGTCGCCAGCCGACTACGGTCCTCCTGACTTACGTCGCCCGCCGACTACAGTCCTCCGTCGCTAGCTGACTACGGTCCTCCTGACCTACGTCGTCCACCGACTGCAGTCCTTCTAACAAAGCGAATACGTCGATAATAGCTCTTTGTATTTACATCATGTAATGTACTCCATAAGATGTACATCAAGCTAAGGCCTTCTCCCAAGGAAGGGCCTCATTTGTAATCGATTGCGAATACTAGTGGATTCGTTCAAACTGGGCTAGGCCCCATGGTTTTTCTCCCTTTTACAGGGTTTTTCACGTAAAAATCTTGGTGTCTCATAAATGCTAGACCCTCTCTCCTTATCTGATTGCGTGCCAGATTTTCGTACAACACTAAGACGATAAACTTTATATTTATCTACCGCCGCGAATACTCCTTGACGCAACAAGAGTAATGCTATATCATTTTAATACATTATTATTTTTTATTTATAATTAAAGAATATACTATTTCCTTTTTTATTAAATATCAAAAAACAAAAGCCACGTTCTTCTTCTTTTTATTGGTCTTAAAGCACAATCATGAACTTTGAAAGGTTTGAAGACCTCAGATCTTACTACTTTTGCAAGATATGAGAGGATCTATTTATTTCTTAGGGGCTTAAGTCCCAATGCTATGCCTATTTAATAAAAAAAATTTATTTATGGACTACAGGTACCTTTATTTTATTTTATTTTTACATGAAGTAAAATTACCAATGGGCCCCCAAGGATTTTCATATATGCCCTAGTGCATGTGTTTGTAATTTTATCAAATAATGATATGGGCATTTTAAATTATTTATTTAACAAAATTTTATTTAATGTGATTTTATTTAATTGTGGTACGTGCGATAATATGACTTTGATAATTAAAAAATAATAATATGAATGCTAATTTTATAAATGATTAAAATATGAGAGTTATATGCGTAATTTTTCTTTTAAAAAATAATTATCTCAAGTTGACTATTTTTTCTACATAATCTTTATGAGATAATATGATGTAAGCAAATCTATCTTTTGTTAAGAATGGGAGCATCTTCAAATTCCTTTCTAGTTAAGATATATAAGATTGGTGGATCAATATTATTTAATTAGGGTAGCTAACTAATATGATTTACTAATAATTTTTTTGGTTTAGGGTCATTTTTGCAATATTGCAATTGTTTATAAAATTAATTGTGAATTTATTCTAAAAATATATATATTTTTAAATTATAATGAATATTATAATTTTATCTCTTGATATAAAATCAAATAATTTATATACCATATTTTAAAGTATCTAATTGTGAAAAACTCTTTATTTAACTAATAATATTAAAATTGTCATTTATTTTCCAAACATGCACTTAATTAGTTTTTTAAAAAGTTAAATTTCAATTGATCAAAATTAGGAGTGTAAATTAATTAAGCCAACTCGTGAGCTCATTCAATCTTGACTCGATAAATAGCTAACCAGTTAAACTTGAGCTAACATAGACTGATCTCATCAACTTACGAGCCGATTTGTTTAAAAAATAATATAATAAAATATACTTAAAATATAATAGCATTTAAGCTCAAGCATAAAGCTATTAAAAATATTCAAAACTTATATCTCATTTTCTTATAAAATGATTATTTATTATTTATAATTCTTTTACAATAACTATTTAAATCATAATTATTTTCTCTATTTCGTTATAACTAAGTCAGCTCTAACTCATAGAATTAAGCTCCAAATCGAGCCTGAACTCAATTAATTAATAAGTTCGAGCTCAAGCTAGAGCTTACTCGAACTCAGATCGACTTGTTTACACTCTTGATCAAAAAGTAGATTTGGACTTCAAATAACAAAGAAGCAAAAAAGGAATCAATAATGCAAAATATATTAAAGGCATCCAGTTCCTTCTCCTACATCAAACTTACAACAAATTTTGCACAAAAATAGATTAAGATCTCCTAATCACATCAAAATTGAATGCAACAAATGTAAGTTTGTAGATTTCCCTGTTACAAACAACCAAAAAAACAGTAAAATAATCAAGAAAGAAATCAATGGAAGGCGACTGATCATAAAAGATGGAAATTTCAATGCTCTCAGATTTATTGTGGGACCAATACAGAAATTCTCAAATATCACAACCCTGTCAAGTTCTGTCATTGTTACTTGAGAATCTGGACCTCTTCTTTTTAGTAGAAATTCCCTTATCCATTTATTGATGCAGGAAGAAAGCCCCTCATCCATTGATTTTCTTTTGATGATGTTGCTATTGCTGAGATCAGTTTTGCTGTTGATAATCTGCTTTTGATCTTTGGATTTCCATTTTAGTATGTGAGGTTTGAGCCTGTTCATGTCTGATAGCTTTACTGGTTTTAGTAAGAATTCCTCGGCTCCTTCTTCTAAGCATCTATGATCATTACCCATCATGAGAAGGAAAAGAAAATGGATTTAGAGAATATTTAGAACAGAAAGGAGAGTCAAGTGATGAGTAACATCATTTCATTTCATCACATAAAGGCAGAATAAAATCTGATAAAGATCATAGAAAAGACATGACTTTTCCTTTATTCCAATTCTCAGATCTGATACAGCTCACAGCCAAGTTTCTATATGCTTTTGAACACTAAAGAGGTAGGGTAGTTTAAACTTCAAAGTTCAAGTAAATAAGTAGGAGAAATTAGTGAAAGTTCAAGCATATATGCTTTTGAAGACTAAATAGGAAGAAATTATTACATGCAGAGTCCGGATGTAGCTCGCATCCGGACTCCAATCAGATTGCGACATGTCGCCTGTATACAAGCCGCATGGCACAACTTGATTGGATTCTAAATACATCTGGACTTTGCATGTAATAATTTCTCCAGGTCATTTCTCCAAGTTTATGGGCTTGAGTCACATATTTTACCATTTATTGTTCACTATTAAAAGGAAAAACTGAAGAAATTATTTAGATGGAGAAAGATGCAAAAATGTGCACTCAATTAATAAGGGGTTTGTACATAACTATGCATAACTGTATATAGATGTGACATGTCAGCTCTTGATTTGATGGGTGGTGTTCCACACATTCATTGTCCAGGTATTAATTTCTCAATAAGTAGAAGCATATATCATGTAATCTGTGACTAGGATCTCACCTTGAAGGAAAAATAATGAAAAAAGAACGAGCAATAAGCAATTAATAGCTTTGTGGCAATTTATTTGTAGATTAGATCAACTTATATGAAGATTAGAGTCTAATAAACTTGAAAATTTTAAAGGAGTAAGGAAATCTTTGCTCAAACACGGTCATTTAGCATGCATGAGATTTTGGATCCGTTTGGGATGGTTACAACTTTTTATAAAAGTGATTGCAAAGCTATCGTACGAAATCAGTTCTTTTAAAGTGTCTATAGAAAGCAATTTCTTAACACAACTTTATTAAAAGTTGTGAAAAAGTAATGATCAAACAAAAATTATGATTGCCATATGAAAAGTGAAACAATAAAAAATTGTTCCGAATGAAGCCTTATAACAATAAGAAAGCAGACCCAAAAGAAGCCTTAAATTTCATTTTTTTTACCATTTTGCAAGTACACCATCTCTAAGACTTGATGAGAATATGAATTGATTTCTGAAGGAGTAAGGCAAATCTGTGGTATAACATATTCAGTATATTTAGCATGCATAAGATTTAGGCTTCATTTTTTCACCATTTTGAAAGTGCATCTTCTTCTCTATAACTTCAAGAGCATATGAACTGATTTATAAAAATAGCTCTTATTTTGTGTGAACTATGAACATATTATTTCAAACAACATAGCAGAAGCAACAGAATTGCAGCAAGCTAAGCATTAGTGTTTGATATCAGGGATGATGTTAATACTCACTAAACCATAGGGATTATCCTAACCAAATGGCAAGTAGAATAGGATTAAGCCATCATTAGCCTTATCTTAACTACTTTGGGCAGACAAGCTAAATAGTTTAGCTAATTCAGAGAGCTAAATAAAGAAATTTACAGCTACATATTTAATCCTTACCAAATCAAAAACTAGTCTGAAACCAGACAGACATTCCATAATTATGGTGAAAGCAGAGCAGGTCAATCAGAAATATTTTCCAACCAAGGAAAAAAGAAAGCAACTTACTAAGTTGCTTCTTTGAGATTTTCACAGTCAAGAGCAACCAATGAAGCACTAAACACCTCAATAATCTGCTGAAGCACTAAACACCTCAATTATCTGCTGAGGCATGGCTTTCCTTTTACTTGATTATCTCCTTAAGGAGATTCAAAGCACATCTCAAACAAAAAATCATAAAAATAAAGAACTCAAGTTCTCAATCATGAAAGAATTTGATAAATTAAATGAAGTTCAGAGGATTTTTCAAATAGTATAAAGTTCCTACCTATTTATCCTGGAAGGCACATTCTCAGATGACATGATTACAACTGGGATATCCTTTAAAGCTGATGAATCCTGAACCAATAATTCACAAACCCTTCTCCATCAGCCTCAAACATCAAATACATGAATATAACTAATCAATTTAAGGATATGAACAAGAGAACTTTAGAAGATTAAAAAAAAACTTGCCTTTATTCTTTTAAGCAGATCGTACCCGCTCATTCCAGGCATACAGTAGTCTGTGATCACCATATTCACCTCAACCTCCTAAAATTATATAAAAAAAACCATAAATCAGCACCCCGAATTCCCTCAAATCCCAATTTATGAGAGAGAAAGAGAGAATTTGATGCTCACATTCCGTTGAAGACCTAGAAACTCCAGAGCCTTGCTTCCAGAATCCACTGTGGTCACTGAAAAGGGAAAATGGAAACAAAGAAACCATCAAAGTAAAGACGAAATTGAACTGAAAACACATAAAAATAACCAAAATTAGGTCTCTCCATTCCCAATTCCCATCATATCAAATGACCAATACCTAAAAAAGACGAAGCCTTGAGCAGCCTCTCGATCAGCTTTCGATCAATGAGACTGTCATCCACAGCCAGAACATGAAACTGCGATTCAGAAGCTACGGCCATCACAAATCCAACGTCTTCTCAACTCAATAGCCGGATTCAGGTCAGCTTAGTAAGTAGAAACGAAGAAGAAGACGACGAAGAGCTGAATTACGGAAGCAGAAACTCCAGGAAAAAAAATAGCAGATCGTGGAAAGCAATGTCTGAACGGAAGTGATCCAAATCACTCCACTTCCTCGAGAATTCAGATCGCATAAGAGCCCAAAATCTCGCCTATTTGTCAAGAATTCACACGGATTTGATTTGATTTGAGAGAAAGCAACCGAGCGATTCTATGGGGACAAAAGATCTCGTTTTTTGTCCCCTTGCTGGTGGAATTATCCTGATCCGCGGATCCATGTTAAGGGAACCATCTACCAACGGATAATCGACACGTGGTACGGGGAATAGAAAGTGCTCGGGCCCAGTTTTATACGACTCTGTCGGGGCAGCTTAAGCGTGAAATACGGTAGACATCTCTTTGGGAAATGGATTCGGATCCCGTTAGTTGATAAATCAGAGCCATCGGATAGTCGAAATTTAAATTATTTTTTTTTAAATTAACACAATGCCGAAATATTTAATCTCAGCCGTTCAAATTTGATCAGAGGATGGGTTATTGGGGCCCATTTTTAAAATAATATTAAAAATATTGGTGCTCGTTGCACGTGAAAAATATTATATTTTGAAATTTTGTCGACATTTTTTTTAATTGACTTAATAATAATATCTTTATCATAAAAATATACTTGGAATCAAATTATATTTTTTTATCATATAAAAAAAACTTTAAGTTGACCGTGTTAATATAGATTCAAATTAGAAACTCCTGTAATAGCTTAAATTTTGAGAAAATGATTTATAATTGAAGGGATTAATATGCGTTATCTAATAAGTATTTTAAATATATTTATAGAGAATGTCACTATAAAAATTTATAAGTATACCCTTATTCTCTGTATGATGGGAGACGAGGAGCTAAAGCTGAAGATTTAACTCGAAATTAAAATTAGAGAGAACTTTGTTATCAAAATTCTAATCATTGTCGCCCGAGCATCACCATTAGACTGATATCACCGGACCACTATTATAGATCACCGCATTTTAATCATCATTGTTTGATGACCTTTGTCTATTCTAGCATTGCTTTTAACTATCGTTGTCTAATCACAACAATTCTGCCACCATTTTCCAACCACATTTTTTTGACCACGTGTCTCCACTATTGTTGTTAGACTTCCATAATCGACCACCACCATTAGACCAGTTGTAACAAATCCAACCAAATGGAATAGGTCCTATCATGTTGAGATGTGGCAGACAAATTAGAAGATTTAGTTTTTAAAAAAATCAAATTTTCTAGAGCTACTAAAATACTCAGAGTACTGAAAATAAACTAATATACAAAATCTCTTTTATTTCATCTAAATGTATATATAAAATCTACACTGCAATACATTTTTACAGAACAGAGAGAAGAACAAAATATAACAAAAATAGAGAAATAACTATAAATTCCAAAACTCCAAATCAACCAGCTCCTTCCTTTTCCTGGATTCTAAAAACTAAAAGCAAAATCATATTGAGCTCAAATAGCTCAGCAACCACAAATATCGATTTAAATTTTCAAATATTTCTTTTGTTAAAATTTTTCAGAATATTTAAAAACAGTTAAATGCAATATAATAATCATTGTGCTAATCAAAGTAGTAAAAATATAGCAGTTATCCAAAGATTCTAAGAGTTGTGTTGAATATTTAATTAAATTGAAATTAATGTCAAAGAATTATTCATATTCATATCAGTTTTCTCTTTTCCCGGATCCAACAAAATCACAAAAGATTCTTGGCCCTTATGACTCTCTTTTGTACTTACAGCATTAGAATATGCTCGTAAGCACCAAAACATAACTTGTAACCATTATAACGTGACATTTTAGCCACCAAAACATGCCTTATAGGCATCAGATTCCTTGTCACAGAATTAATAGTAAATGATTCTAGCCGCATATATCTCCCAACATACCTAATCCAATCATATATGCTCATATTTCATCACATTATAATAATCAAAGCATAATTGAATTTATATCAAAATTGCAAGGTTCTCTATAATGGTTGGCAACAAAAAATTCTACTAAACAACATTCATAGTTTCAAAAACATAACCAAATTACACAGGAATTTATAAAACATTATTTTAAGACTTTAACTATACTAGAATATTATTTTTCATAGTCCATATTATTGTTTATTCAATAAAAACTATATAAATTCCAAAATACACATTGGAAAAATTTTTAAAAAATATTCATAATCTCAATCTCTATAATATATAAAAAGTTATATAGTGAAAGTTATTTCAGTGCAAAGTTATCCGTATTTTTTATAACATAAATAGAAATCTAATCGAAAAATTCAAAATAAAAAACTTCATATTTTTTAATATTGAGATAAGCATAATTTGATCTACATCGATCTGGACAACTTTTTTTAACTAAGCTGATGTCTAAAAACGACCCGAAGAGGCTCAAATTTGCTCTTCTTCCTCTCCAATATCCTCTTCATTCTCTCACCTCGCGGCTGGCAGAGCTCAAACGAATGAACGAGATAGTGATTTTATTTTATATTTAAATTGCAACTAGTGACCTAGCACTACAATGCTAGCATCCAAGCACTGTGGCGCTAATTTATTTTCCAAAAACCCGAGACTATATTGCTGGAATGTCATAATTTGGCACAGTAATGATGTTGCAGTGCCATGGCGTTCAAACATCCAATATTGACACACTCAGATAGCAATATTTTTTAGATTTTATCAAAATTCACTATAGACCCTTGGGACTCATTCTAAAACATATGAAACTTTTTGAAGCATAAACACTTTCAAACACTTGCAAATGAGTTCAAAATTCAAATGAAAAATAGGTCAGTACGGATGCTAAACCTGGAGGCATCACACAACAGTTGCTAGATTGCCATTGTCTAACAACCTCCATAGGGCCACGACTGTCTTATACCACTTTTGTCTCCCGATGCAAAGCATCATAAATAAAGTCGATGCACGTCAACAACACTAACATTAACTCCTAACATCAAAATCAAAATCAAAATCAAAATCGTAGTGGACTTTTTTATCTCTGGCATTCTCTCCTCATAAGAGAATGATCAGACAACCATTGATACTCGTATATAAGTTCAACTTTGAAATCAATCATTATCAATACCTTCTCTAATTAAAATAAATGAAATAATTTGTAACTAGTTATATATAATAATTAAATAATTTCAATTAAATTAAACTCTACTTTTATATTTATATTCAAAACTAAATTTGGTCTTCATTTGAGATATTTTTCTTATTACTTTCAAAATTAACCTTGGATTATAAAAATTTCTAATTTAAAATATTAAAAATTTACACTAATATTACAAGACTTAACAGGGAGAAAAAATAGATTACTAAAAAAATAATCCGCCCGAATCTTGACAATGTAAGCAATGAAAAATTATGGCTATGATGGGATTTGAACCCGACGTGAATCGAACACGCAACCTTCTGATCTGGAGTCAGACGCGCTACCATTGCGCCACGGATCCTCATGTTAAAGTTTCTGATATTTTGTTGTAAATACCGTAAATATGATGCTGCTCCTATAGTTCACAATACACTATTACTATTATTAGCCTATTACTTAGTTTCTAAGATATTTTTTAAGGAAAAAAAAAAAATATAACCAAATATACTAAATGTGTTAATTATGAAAACTGATGTTCCACATTCCAAAATAATAATAATAGAAGTATTTATAACAGTTTCTAAGAAACGTATACTAACAATGATATTACCAGTACTACAAACAACAAGCTATATATTTGACATTTTTTCAAACAATTACCATATTTATTTTTGGCTATAACTTTTTATTGATTTATGTATATACCACTAAATTCATTCGTTCATTCATGTCTAATATTACCAAATGTAGAATATAGAAGGATTTTGAAGGACTCCCATGATCTTTTAACTACCTTGATACGTCATTGAAAATTGCATTGATCGGGAACTAATCTCAAGACATATCCAAGTTAGAAACTTGTTAAATTAAGTTTGGGACCATCCAAACTCTGATATCAGCAAATGGGTCTAAATCAAAGGACTGAAGCGTATTTAAAAGGTTCAAAGTATTAATTGGATGACTAAATTGATCTCTAAAAATGACATGCTTATTGTCGAATCGAGCGACTCGAAAAGAGGAATCAAACGAGCCGATGATTGCTTGATTGTGCCATCATTAAGGCATATAAATACTTCAAAAATGCACTATGATTGGGGGAAACAGTATGTGCCATCTGATAGAGTACTCCGAATCTTTTATGGATCTTCTCCATACTTAAGAGTGTGCTACTCATAAAAATCTATAAATATATTACCACTCTCTTCATGAAAGGGACATTTAGCTAGAGATTAGAGACAGCTTTAAGGCTTTAAGGATCTAGAGCTCCACCTAAGCACCACTGCAGACGAACTTCTATTGGTCAACCATACAACCGCCAGGCCTCCTGACCACCGCCAGACCTCAACAGATCTCCACTGGACTTCTGCTGGACCACCACCCGGCCGGCGATCGCGGTTGGACCATCGCTCGACCGCCGACCATCATTGGACCACCACTAGACCTCATCCCAACCACCAACCATCGTCATACCACCGTTGGACCTCAGACTTCAACCGAACCTCCGACTGGCCTCTAATAACTGCCCGGCCGCTGATCTCTGTCAGACTTCCACCCTGACCATCGACTATCGTTGAACTTCCATCAGACTATTGTCGGACCACAATCGAGCCGTCGACCGCCACCGAACTTCCATCCACCGTTAACCATCACTGTACTTCAGCCTAATCGTTGTCGGACTTCCACTCGACTCTCTAAACTATTATAATTACACCGTCTCTAAGTTAAGGGACAAGTCAATCTTTAGAATTCACTCAAATTTAATTGAATCTTCTCGTCTGGACTAGGCCCCGTGATTTTTTTCTTTTTGATTTTTCCACGTAAAAAGTTTTCTGATGTTTTTCCACTCTCTCTTCAACTATCTGTTTGTGTGTTTGATATCTGTGCATCGTTATAACGAAAAATTAATTCACTCTACGGCTACGAATATTCTAACCCACAACATACCTAATAAGCACTAATTATTCAATAATCATCATGACCCACAATCAGCTATTAGCATAATCTTAAATTTGCATAACAATCATTATTAATTGTATCATAAACTGCTATCAAAAACTTTTTCAGAAACCATTGCAATTTAGTTTGATTCAATACATTTCCACATCAATGGAAATTTCAGTCAGAATGACCTATTAACCCTATGAACTTCCCATCAATGGAAATTTTCAGCATGCTATCTGGAACTGATAAGCAATTTATTAGACTAAAGTAACAATCCCAGTGAAGCTTTTAGTCTTTTGCTAGGAGAAACAATGAAGAATACACAAACAGGAATCATTCCTACAGGTTATCATCTTGTTTTATATCTTTGAAATGACCTTCTCATTTCACTATCATACTAGACTTGTATAAGTTTCTAATGCACTATTTGTCACCCAGCAGGGTGAGCAGAAAATCCCTGTAATAACCAGAGGTATCTCCAACAACATCATCATGAAGTGTTCTGTTGTATCTGTCCTTATACTCCTCTTTGATCAGCTTCATATCGATTTCTGCTCGAGTAACAATAGCTCTTGTAAGAGAATCCTCATCTGTTCCCAATCCAATGATTGAGGTATTCACAACCTGGTTATAAGAAAATGGACCTGATGAATTACTCTCAAATTGATTAAAAGTTTTAGACTTTGTTTGGGACAGCTTTTTTGTTGTTTCATAAAGCAGTTTTTAGTAAAAAAAATTAACTTTTGTGTTAGAAAGCTGTTTTAAGAAGCAGGAGAAGCCGTCCCAAACAAAGCCTTAAAAGTGGATATAGAACCAGTTTTACCTGGGCGAAGTGCTTCTCTGGCGACTGTAAACAACAGATAGCAACTTTTATGATTGATGAGAGCTTCTTGTCATCACCACTGTTGCACTCTATGTCCTATCCATCCCAGAGTTTGCTAATACATTAGTGACTGGTTTTTAAGCTAAAACTCCACAGTTAGAAGACAAACATACTATTCGAATAGGTCGCTACTGCTTAAACAGTATAAATGACGCTTAGATGAAAAATGAGCATGTATTTCCTCATGCTAAATTATGTTAACTTGTATAGAAACTACACAAACACAGAGAGAAGATGACACTATGAAATATTACAACTTCAGGAACCTGTCTGTGGGTGATTTATACAATATTCCATGTATCATGCAGAGGTTGATTTAGTTCTTTATATTGTGAACTGGAGGAAACTCACTCATTGATCTAGTTAGGCAATGAAAGAACAAAAAATTTAAGTGCGAGAAAACGAAAAGATTTATCACAAACTTAAGGGGAATTAAACTTTTACAACATTCAAAATTACAAGAGGACTTCCATGGAAATACTTCTAGGGGGAGTTATAAATGTGTGGTTTCAAGTGGTAAGCTGATAGGAAATATATGCACTTTTCACAAAATCAGCAGATGAAATATGAGAATTGCTGAATTAAGAAGAACACCCAAAAAACAAGATACAATTGAATCTTCAACTGGAGAGGAAGATTCGACTCTCCCAAACCCTAGCCGTCCACTAGAGTCCCTCCTTCTCCTTAGGAAAAAACAAAACTCAGCAAAATGAACGATAGCCCAAACCCTACGAAACAATCCTACTAAAACATACAAAAATTCTCTCCGATTCCAAAACAACCCCTCATTTTGAAATTTCCCTCCTAATCTCTCTTTAATTTTTAATTAATTTGCCTGCTGGACCCCACCCCCAAAGGGAGCGTCATTGACCGAAGCGGAACAGCCTCTGGTAAACCAAGGCCAGTCTAGGCTGGACCAGCTAGACCGATCCAAGGACTAGTCTAACATAAGGCCAAAAAACCAACTTGATCGTTTCATCATTAATTACCACATTACTGATGTTATCTTGATTAAGCATGGTAATGGCATATTAAAGAGGGAAATATTTCAATTGTCAGTTTAATAAATATGGAATAACTATTATTGAATGACTTATGGATAGAAATTGCAGCGTCTGGACTAATGAATTGCTTCCACAGGGATCTATAAATGTTCCAGCTTAAATTTTACTGCAAATGGCATATTGCGTACCTCAATTATGGATATTCCATATTCTTGTTTATAATGCTGGAAAATAGCATTAAGGTGAGCCTTGCTCCTTGTGCTGAGTACACGAATAACCTCATGATAAGGCCTCTGCTCTCTTATAGCACAGAAGAGTGAGTTTGCTTCAGATTTCACCAGTTGCTCATCCACATCCTCCCCTTCATACCTATAGGAGCTCACAAGACGCAACAAAAACTGCAGAAAATATATCTTTCTCAGTGGTAAAGCACATACAGGTTATATATTAAATATCGCCATATCATCATCATATTCAGTAGCCTTATCCTAACTATTTAAAATTGGCTTTATTATCACTATCTTACAGAGGAAAAAGTAAAAATAGTCCGTTCAGTATTTATGTGTGAGCTTTAATCCCAAACTACTTAATATGCCATATTTAGACTTCGTTTGGCACGGCTGCTTCTTAAAGCAGCTTTTTAGTGAACGCTGTTTAAGAAGTAGTAAGAAAGCTATCCCAAAAGAAACCTTAATGTATTAACTTCTCAAATATGATTCAAAATAATTCCTTAACTACGGAAACATAATTCAAAATAATCAATTTATTGGATTATTTTAAGGAGTTAAGAGACTAACTCGAACATATTAGATAATTAGGACAAATGATCTCATACAAATAGTCCTGGATCATTTTAACTTTATTTTTTCTCCTATCTTATGCTTAGATATAAAATCTTATTTCCTTTCTAAAATTCCTGTAGCACCTCAACCACCATACCTCCTTAAGCTGCCCTTGTTGAGCAAATTGAGATTCAATATCTTCTTCTAAGGAGGAATGGAAGAGGAGGCAGTAGGTTTGTCTCACTTCAATCAGATGGTCTGATGACGAGGAACAAGCTATCTCTAAGATGACCCATATGTCTTGATCTTTCTTTCGCTCTAACGCCTTATGCGCCAACTCCGCATCCCTTTTTGATGGATCTTCAGTCCATAAGATCACAGCCCTCTGACCAACAACAAATGCACTTTGATTAGGAATCATATATAGTTCAAAGCAGCTTCACATAAAGCAATATCTATTACACAGAAACGTCTTTTTTTTAATTAGTGATGGAATGCATCGGGCTTGTTGTGTGATAGAAAAGTCCCCCTCAAACTTAAGGGAAAATTCTATAAGATGGTTGTGAGACCTGCAATGCTTTATGGTGCCGAATGTTGGCCATTAAAAGAGAAGCAAAATACCAAGTTAAGTGTTGCAGAGATGAGGATGCTTAGGTGGATGAGTGGCTTTACCCTTAGAGATAGGATACATAATGAGCATATATGTGAAAAGATTGGAGTAGCGCCAATGGAAGATAAGATTAGAGAGAGTCGCCTTAGATGGTTTGGTCACATTAAATGGAGACCTTTCGATGACCCGGTTAGGAAAGTTGAGGTATTAGATTTGACTTATGTTAAGAAAGGTAGAGGTAGACCTAAAAAGACTCGGTTAGAAAATATTAGAAATGATCTTTCTTAATTAGACTTAAATGAGAATTTGACTTTAAACAGAACACAATGGAGAAAAATGATTCATGTAGCCGACCCCACGTAGTGGGACAAAGGCTTGATGATGTTGTTGTTGTTGGAAATTAAATTCCAAATATTGGGACCAAGATTTGTATGACAATTTCATTTGGGATAGTACAGCATTTGACAGTTTTCATGCACAAGGTAGCTTACAAGGAGTTTTGGAATAATAAGCTAGGAAGCAGTTAAGTAAGAACACAATCTTGTTCTTGTTTTCCTTTGAGTTCCATTTTGAATTCATAATAATCAAGAACATGGAGCACTACTTGGTAACCTCCAAACCCTAACTCGATACTATTTCACTACGACATGTGAGTCAGAGGAGCAGCAGTCATCACAATTTGCATAGAGCCAGCAAACTTCCTCAATCTCAAGTCACTAATGCTTCATTAGATCAACTTCAATATATCAATCACTGTAATCTATACGGAGTAAACATTAACATGCAGTTTATCATCTTTACTAGGCAGTGAAGTGATCATTGGTTGTACGAACAAATAGGAGGAAGGCAAAAAAGATAGCTGAATAGAAACCAGTATAAAGATTAACAGAACAACATAAAAACTGCTTGTTAACGCTGAAGGCTCTTTGAAATTATGAAGAGAATATGTGTCTTATGTCCCTAGCTATCATAAAAGATATGAGGATTGGTGAATTCTCTCAAATCAAAAGTGAAACTAGAGTTGGATATTACCAGCCAATTCCCAATATATATATATATTATTATACTCACAAGAAAAGATTAACAAGAAAACAGAACCCGGAGGAAACAAAACAAAACTTTATCAACAATTTACTTCCAGACAATGAATTGTAATCAACAAACTCTTTTTACAATGAATGCTAACCTATAATTTTTATTTTAAATTACACATCTAGTAGTTTATTAGAGTCACATAAGATTGAAAATCAGGACTTAATCAGCAAAATTTCAAAAATATGGCTAAAGTTTTGTTTGGGATGGCTTTCTTATTGCTTCGTAAAACAACTGTTGACCTCGATTTAAATTACACATCTAGTAGTTTATTAGAGTCACATAAGATTGAAAATCAGGACTTAATCAGCAAAATTTCAAAAATATGGCTAAAGTTTTGTTTGGGATGGCTTTCTTTCGGAGGCCCACAACAACTTTCTATATAAAAATTTTAATTTTTAAATTAGAAAGCTGTTTTAACAAGCAATAAAGAAGTCGTCCCAAACCAAGCCTAAATCTTTCATTAGTTATTTAATTCCCCACCGCGATGATCATTTCGTCATATCATCAGACCAAGCTCCAAAATAAATATCTGTACAAAACAAAGGAAAAAAAAGATAGATATCTGAATATATTAATGAGAATTAGCACTATACTCACAGTTCATCATTCCCAATATTTAGCATAACTCAGTGGTAACATAAATAAAAAGTTCATCTCTTTACAAGAACAGTTCCATAGTTAAACCAGTAGAACTACTTAGCTGAGCATAATTTCAAAACAGCCTCAAGAATCAATGGGAGTGAAAAAATGGCGAGGTGGGAATTTTCACAAATGGTTCTTTCTATTTAAATAAACAGAAAAAGTTTGCAACTTTATACTTGGAAATCACCGGAGAGCTCCGATTTAAGGCGATAGATTAGGGATTCGTTGTATAGCATATAATAGCAGCGGGAAATCTCTGCGCGATTGCGGGCGTCTCTGTGCCCCAATACCTCGATAATGTCCTTTTCGTCCGTCCCAAACCCTGGAAAAAAAGAGAGGGGTTAGGAGGGGACGAGAAATGTTAATAAAAAGGAGGTGATTTCCCATTGCAATCGGATCCACATTACCTTGAAAAGCCTTTCGCAATCTCTGACAATCCTCTTTAAGAGAGGGGATAATATCTGGAATTGTGATTGTGCTCATCCTTGCTTCTTCGTCTCTCGTTGTTTAAACTCTCTGAAACGTTTTCGATTTAATGGAGGGAAAGGAAGGAGAAGCAATCGCCAAGTTGACTGCGGCATCGATTGCCTGCTTTATCGACTCTGTGATTTGTCTGATACAATAACTTAGTAAAGAAATTGCACTTAACTCCCTCTGTTTATTTTAAATTGCATTTGAACGTCATGTTTATTACAGGATTAATTATTTTGTGACAGAAAATATTTAGTGAATATTGCATGTCATTTGTTATGCAAATAAAGAATTTAGGAGTGTAAATAAGTCAAGCAAGAATTCTACCAGACTTTTGGCTTGGATCACATACTCAATACTAGGTTAAAAATTGAGCATGAGCTTGAGCCTAACTCACATGACAAGCTTGAGATCAGCTTATTGGAATAATGGGGTTGGCTCGAGCTCTACTCATGAGTTCGAGCCAAATTCCCAAAATTCTCGTGAAGGGAGTTTGATGGAGGTGACATCGACAGTAGGAATGCGTGGGAGATGGTATTGATTGTGACAAACCTGAATTAGCGTCAACAACGAAAAATCACACTGGGAGAAGTAAGGAAACTGCAATGGGGACTCGTGGGAGATGGCATTGACTCACAATGTTTTTTTGACAGACAAGACATTGATTAGATCAGTGGAGAAGTCATAACCGGAGTTTGTTAGAGAAGGAATAGACGAGACATGAGCATTTAAAGAATAATAGGAGTTCATGATCGACACATAGAATAAATGAGAATTAGGGGTTTAGATTCAATGGAGCTAGCTGGCAAGTCGAAGGGCCAAGTTTTTTCAAGCTTAAACTCAAACTCGTATAATATATTAATTGTAATATGAGCTAGAGGCTTAGAGATAACTACTTTGCATACCAGCATTTATTTATTTAGTTTTCTCTCTCTTTTTACTTAGAAAAATATCGAAGGCACAACACATCACACACACTAAACGTTTTTTTCATGAACTTAAAAATTTTGAGCTGGACAAGCGACGACTAACCAAATCATTAAAAGAATTAATCAAAGCATCTATTCGTTAATTATATATTTTTAAGGTATTAATAGGCCTTACTATACATAATTGAATTACTAAATTTTAATAAAAAAAATTGGCACAATTGATTAGTTTTTGTTGAAATTGTCTGATGAAGCTTAACTAATAATAATAAAATATTTAAATTCATGAATCTAATTATTTATTTGAAATTTTTATCATATATATATACATCTAATAATGTACATGAAATTAAAACATATAAACTATAGAAATTTTGATACAATGACATAATTAAGTCATCATTAAACGAGCATTTTACACGGTCTTAGAAACCTATTATAGGCGAGACACGAGCATTTGAAGAAGAAGAGGAGTTCATGTTCGACAACAAAGAAAAAATGAGAATAAGGAGCTTAGATTAAATTGAGCTAGCGTGCAAGTCGAAGAGTCGAGTCTTGCAAAGTCAAAACTCGAATTCGTATAATATATTAATTGCAAGCTGAGCTAGAGCTAACTAACAAGTCGAGTACAAGCTAGCTTGCTTGCGAGTTGACTTGGCTCATTTATTCTCCTAAAATAATATTAACTTGTAAATGTGTATGCGTATATGGTGCATGTAGATTGAGGTGAATAATTTTATTTAATAGAAAATTAATATTCATGTTGCATTTTAGAAATTTATGATGATAGGGATATAATTTTTATGTCTCAACTTTTTACGAAGATTTAATACGCACACTAATAATTAAAAAGAATAGAATAAATATTATAATTTTTTGGTGAAACTTTTTGTCACGACCCGACCCGAGACGGATCCCGCCCACACCGGGCCGCGACCAGCTTAACGAACAGACAGACCAGGATTATGTTGATATATTACATGAGTTCGCTCTTCCTCTCAATTAGATTGAAGATGGGATTATAAATTATGTAATACAAGTTTGTATTCTTATAAATATGAGAGAGAATAATAGAGATGAGCAATAATGGTCAGATGATAGCGGTAAGGTAACGATAGTCGGTTAATGATAGTAGTCAAATGATGATGGTCAGATGATGGCGGTGATCAAACAACAATGGCAGCTGAGTGATGACAGTTAGGCAATGATAGTTAGATGACAACAGTGGCAAATGATGATTATTAGCGTTGACAGTCAAATAGAACTCTTAGGTTCTTCAGATCTTCTAGCTCTCTTCAAACTAAAGTCTATATCCCCTTTATGTGGAGATTAGGGGTATATTTATAATACTTTTTGAGTAGATATTTTAGTAAATTCATCCAAAATTTCATAACACTTCTTCAGATGACCTATATTTAATCCTTTAATCATATATATACCATTTATTCATTTTAAAGTAATTTAATTACTTGGAATCAAAATATATTAAGTTTGTTTGATTCATCTCGTCAAGCCGCTCATTTTAAATACAAGCATGCAAAATTTGGAGAATATTTTATCCTCCAATTAGGGCTGCAAGCGAACCAAACGTTTGACGAGCTACTCGTTGTTCAGTTCGATTAAGCTCGTTTGCGATCGTTTAATTAACTAAACAAACAAACTTGAACAATAATTTAAATACTCGATTCTTAAATAAACAAACTTGAACATTAATGCGTTCGGCTCATTTATGTTCGCGAACAACATCATTTGAAGTTCGTGAACAAGCTCGACATTAAACTCGATAAGAAGCTCGATAAAAGCTCGATTCATGTTCGATTTTGAACTAGTGAATAAACTCGATAAAAATAATTATTATTTGACTATAGAATTAACAAATATAAATAATCATTACCCTCAACTTTTTTATTAACTTTTTTCATCCGGGCTTGGGATCGGCATAGGCAGTTTTAAAAGTTTTTATTAAAAATTATTCAAAACATATAATATTAAATATAAGATAGTAATCCACTTACAATTTTTAACGTAAACTCTTCATATTCTGAAAGAGTTAAATGATTACTTCATTATCAATAGAATTCAAAATTTTTTTTTCAATATAAGCAATTAATAAATCATTCATCCATTGATCGCCTATCCTATTTCACAGCCATTTTTTTATAATATTTATGATATAAAATGCTCTTTCAACGCCTGCTGTAGCAATGTGTAATATCAATGTCAATTCTAGTAGTTTAAAAACAACATGATATATTCTATTCTTCCTGCTTTGGATCATTTTATCAGCAAGACTTTCAATCTCTTTTAATGAGGTGAATTGATCATCAGATCACATATCCATGATATAAGTATCCAATTTATTTTAAGGAACAGCTTGATCAAATTATTTTATTAAAAACTTTCCCTCAACTTTTTTAGTCCGGGCTTGGGATCGGTATAGGCAGTTTTAATTTTTTTTTATTAATAATTATTCAAAAATATATAATATTAAATATAAGATAGTAAACAACTTACAATTTTTAACGTCTACTCTTCATATTCTGAAAGAGTTAAATGATTACTTTATTATCAATAGAATTCAAAATTTCTTTTTCAACATAAGCAATTAATAAATCATTCATCCATTAATCGCCTATCCTATTTCACAGCCGATTTTTTATAATATTCATGGCAGAAAATGCTCTTTCAACGCCTGTTGTAGCAACGGGTAATATCAATGTCAATTCCAATAGTTTAAAAACAACATGATATATTATATCATTCATACTTTGGATCATTTTATCAGCAAGACTTTCTATATCTTTTAATGAGATGAATTGATCATCAGATCGCATATCCATGATATAAGTATACAATTAATTTTCAGGAATAGACTGATCTGGAAGACTAAAATCAGCTGGATAAAACTGTGTCTTTTGAATTAAACTTGTCTTTGTTGAATGCATGAAATCTGTTATTAGGATTCAAACATGTCATGCATAAAAACAGTTCGGTATTTACTTCTGTAAATCGATTGTTCAACTCCTGAAGCTGCATATCAAGTACTGTGTAAAAAAAAATTCAACCCGACAATGATACAAATTTGTTATATCTTGAGCTCTACGACGTGGCCGACTACGAGCAACCCATTTGTCATCCATATGTGGAACATTGATATTTTATTGCTCACATAATGAAGTTACATTACTGATGAAGTTGACAATGGGAATTCATAGTCCTGCATCAGATGGAAGATTTTCAACATTTACTTTTATATTGTTGGGTAAATCAACATCCAGTCAGAATACGCTTTTCGTTAAAAATTTTAATCTAATTGCTATTGTCATTTGATGTTTTTGAAATTGAAGATCATTTGAAATATCTCTCCATAATATTTGAACTCAAAGATGCCTTAAGATTAATCTGATTATATATCTATTCAGAAATCAATAAATAAAACTTACATAATTAATCTTATAAATGCAAAGAAACAAACAATAAAACTTATAAAATCAAAGCATTCAAACAGGAAGATCTTTGCAAGGAACAAATCTATTTTATAGAACAAATGATATAATACCATATTATAACTTATATTAAAAAAAAACCTCACGGCTATATTCCGTCCGACGGTCCGAGCAAGCCGACACAAAAGGAGTGAGAGCCGTCGGGTCGAAGCAGGGGAGGAGAAGGCACGCCGTCTTTGGCCGTCGTCCGCAACGCCGATCGCCACGTTGTGAGTTGGGGCGTCGGTTGCAATGAAATGCGAAGTGCAAGAGTCATGGAGGCGGAGACAAGCTGCGAAATCGGGAAAGACCGAATGGCTGTGAACTGATAAACCTAATTTTTTTTTTCTTTTTTTATTCCTAATTATGTCTAAACCCGAATATGCTTAAATGTATTAACACATAAATTGACATAAATAATTTTTTCATTAAAGTTTTTTTTTTTTATCTAAGCACAATGCATCTTGTCCTATTGCTTGTAACAACCTCCTATGATGTGAAATTCATCAAACTAGTCAACATGTGAACAAAAACTCATAAATCTTTATTATCATAAAAATTGCACTCATATGGCCTAATGTGCAATATTAAATTTATGAAACTAACCCAATATTAAAAATATGTTCAGCCACATTTAGAAGAACAGATATTCAACATGCGTTACACATTATTAAGAAGAGAGAAATAGAAATGTGAAAGGTATAGAATTGATGGATATCCGCTTTGCA